TAATAAAAATGTAAGTAGTATATGGTAGAGAGTAAATGAGCTGTTTTTTATTAAGTTACAAATCTGGGCTGGTCATAACCTTTGGCCTTTCTATTGAAAACTAAAATGATGCCACTGTCTAAATGATATGTATGAAGCGGCTACAGATTAATGCAAATATGAAAAAGTGTAACAGACTAAATAGCTTGTAATTTAGATTATTTCAAGATTTGTTGTCATAAAATGTGGAAATATCAAATAAAAGTAAGACGATTAAATCGTTTTTAGCATAATTAATTAACGTTATTATAATGTTCGGTTAAATTAAGGGAAATAAAACGCATGGCCACTCATTATAATTGAGTGTGGCTATAAAATATGATTATTTACATACAATTTGAAAATATTTTATTATAATATATGTTCGAACACTAAATGTCCTGATTCAATAGATATGTACAGTACATATTGACTGGACTGACTTGAAGCTTAAGCACAAAGATGTTTTTGATAAATTATTTTTAGGTTTTATATAAAATACAGTCAACAGATAACTTACCGAGCACTCCACACATGACATCAATATCTGTTTAAAAAAAATAAATTGCATACATAATACATTATTTACGACAGAATTTATAATATTGTATGATACATAGGTGATAGGTATAAGTACTGTTACACCATACTTCTAATAAATTATTAAAATTAACATTAGGTCCAAAAAATAGTCTTATGATATCATTTTAGGCCAAAAGGCTTGAGATAAAATATGACTGACATTTAGTGTTTCCATAAGTTGCAACACAACTTGCAAGGCAATGTTATAAATATAAAATGTATATTGTTGTCGTCTTACTAATATCCATTTTTCTCAAATATCTTTCTCCGTAATCTAGAACCGAAAAACAAACTCTATTAAAATTTATAAATTATCAAGGTTACAATAATTTAACATTAAAAACTACAAATTACTACCTTGGGACGATAAACAGAAGTGATAAGAAAGCCAGTATAAGAGCTACCTGTGTGCCCTCGCATATATATTATATTAATATATTATATAGAATGTATATTGTATGTACTATAAATTCATTATATTGAAAGCGTTAAATTTGTCACTTTGTCAGTATCGCTAATATTTTTCGTGTTTATTCCCATGATTCAAGAGGAGTACTGAGATTTTTGAAGAATTTTCTATTAAAAAAAAAAACAATTTACACTGTAGGTACATAGATGTTTCATAGAAGCAATGAATCTATTCGTTTTTACGATGATGTATGTGATTTCAAAATAGTGGAATCACACATTTCGAAGCTCAATCAAAATCTTTGAACCTTAATAATATGTTCTAATGGCATGTTAAAAATGATTAAAACACATTTTATCTTTAAAAAGCGTTTGAAGTTATATTATAATAGAAGACAATAGTTCAAATCATGAAAACGTACATATTATTTGGTGGTTAATAAACAATTATTTTAATTTTAACAGAAATAGCTTGCAAATGTAAAAACCAGGTTCCTCGGAATCCATAGGCAATAAGCAGAGAAATACCCAACTCATGTCCAGTGTGGACGGGCTGTCGAATACGCCGAATCGCGAACAGCAATCTCCTTTCTTAAGGGTGTGCCCGTGGGGTACCGAGTGGGGAATCCTTGGCCGTGAAGTGGTTGTTGTTCTTGTTGCAAAGAAAATACTACATGTATCAGCCGATGGTGGACTTCATATAAGAGAGGTTAAATTGACATTAATTTCTTAACAAATTACTGAAATCTGAAATTTTCAACAATAAAAATTGTTGCTCTTAAAGCGATTTTAAATATCATAACAAATAGACAGATTTATTTTTTGATGAGCATTCAAAGTTCAAATGTTGATGAAATTGTATATTTAAACACATTTTCCTCTACCGATCGTAGTTATTTTGTTATAATTGAAAAAACAATAACTGAAGATATTTGAAATATTGACGAGATATTTATATGATATTTTTTAAGACACCACAAAAAAATTTGGTTCACCTTTTGGGCTTTTTTGGGCGACTTCAACGTTTTATTTATATATGCAGTCACCAATACAGTTATAAATTTAAAAACAGTTTGAATAAACTATATGATTTTACTATCAAAACATATTGACACAAAATAACTTACCAGAAAAAGAGGGGTTGGTCACCTGTAGAGATGCTAAAATGTAAACAAGTATATCATATGTAATATATTATATAATATCATAGACCTGTGTGTAGGCTATTGTTTAAGTTTAATATTTGATACTTGGGAACCTGATTAAGGCCATTTAGATCGTACAATTGATTCGTAGCGGTCGTGAATATTTTTTTGATTTTTAACTTTCGTATGACCATAGGGAATGCAAATACAGTATAGCATTATATAGTACAAATATTAAAACTTGGGTTTTTCTTAAATCAGTTTGATGAAGAGTTTAAAAAGGTTTTATTGTAGGTAACAATATATCAGTTAATTATAATTTTAATTATTTAATTAATTCGTCGTTGATGTTAAATGTCCATGTGCAGTCTATCTAGCCGTAGTACGACTATTTGATGCATTATCTGAGCCTCTGCTCAGCAGTCACATCTTGGGTTCTCTTTTAAGCGCCACTATGCATTAGTTAGTTACATCGGCCCTGGCCTGTACGTATTCGGTTCAGTCTAGTCCATAATCTGCTAGAAAGGGACGAACCTGGTTGTTCTGAATGGACATCTTTGATTAAATTCCCGTTAATATGAGATTGGATTTCTATTCTTCTTGCCACATGGCGAGTTTTAGGCGAAATTCTGCCTTTATTGATTTCACTCTTTCTAAGAACGGGTGTCGCGATTTGAGTATTGGATTTTCGACTCCGTATTCATGGATTGGTAACATATTGTTGACTTTAGACTTATTTTTTAATAACAAAAGTGGTACTAAAACTTTCAGCAGACTGTCAAGTATAACTTTGAAAAACTTCAGCCAAATCGTTTAGAATTTTTCTCCGTTACCGCGGTTTAGAAAACCCCTTACAATTTTATATAATAGTAGAGATTAGAAAGGTTAAAAGAAGATTCCCCATAAATTTTGAGATATTTTAAATCATAGGAAATCTGTTACTTCTAGACGTGTTTTGGAAATACATCTTATTCTTTATATTTTATAAACCACTTACCAATCACTTTATTTATAACAAATTTGATATTAGAAAAATCTAAAAACAAAGCAAACCATTAAAAATTTTTATTTTAAATTTGTTTTTGATAGTGAATTGTAAGGCCACAAACATAATACAACATAATAAGCTGTTAATTTGTAGATTATACGCTGTTAAATGTTTAATAAATAGTATATAGTTACTAATTATTAAAAAAAAAACTATTGTAGAAAGGTACTCCTATTGTTTTTTTACATTAATAATGCAAATGGTCTCTTAAGCTCATATAAAAATGTATTGATATTTGATCACTTAAGATTCTTAGCAAAGCAATGAATGTTTTATAATTATTATTTATTTTATTGCAATTAATCAAAATAATATTTGTATTCAAAAATTTTTTACTTGCAACTTTTCATACAGTAATACAATTCAAAGTAATTTATAGTAAAATGAAATCTAAAATTCTATCACAGGACTAATAATTATAATATTTTGGTGTAATTAGCTGAAATTCTGAGTTAATTGTAAAGTTGATGTTATTTGTATTTCTCCCAATCAAATTTTTAGATATAACTGTATACATATTTTGTACAATTATTATTCATTTAATATTTATCGACTTAAAACACTAGTGAGTAAATTAAAGGTCTGTCAAAGACAAGTTGACATTAATAATTTGAATATTATTTATAGAATTTATTAAAGTAACTACAAACCAATCAAGTCCGTTTCATAGACAATGAAACCATCCATTCGTAGTTGGTCTGCAAACATAATTTAAACATTTTTGTTCTTATTTTAATCAAGTTTGAAAACATTTTAGGTCTTAAATAATAATGCAGTGCGTTTAAAATTAAAATTATTATTATTGTTACAGAAATTGAATGACAATTATATGTTAGAAGCAAGGTGGGATTAACCCTTTAGTGGGCACAGGAAAAAAAGTAAATTTATTTGTACCAAATTTTCAGAGATTGTTCTTATTTGGTCTAGGAAGATGAGAAAAATACTAAAAAATTTTTTTTTTTACTCTAAGTATTTAAAAATTAGTGGGAAATAATTTCCCTATGATCATTACAGACATAGGATTTTGCTAACGGGAAATAATTTCCCATTTGTATTTTATTGAAATATTTACTAGTAAAAGTAATAAATAATACCATTTATTTTTTATACTGAATAACATATTTAATATACAAATAAAAAAACATAATAAATGACATAGTATACAAGTAATAAATGAATACAGCCTTTTGTTTCAAACCAGTATTTATAAATAATATATATATAATAATATTAAATAGTAAATAATATAAAAATGTATAAAAAAACTACATTTTTAGGGCCTTTTAGGATACTTTTTCAAATATAATAACAAAAAACATAATAAATAACATATTATATAAGTAATAAATGGTAAATAATATAAAAATGTATAAAAAAAACTACATTTTTAGGGCCTTTTAGGATACTTTTTCAAATATAATAACAAAAAACATAATAAATAACATATTATATAAGTAATAAATGATTAGGTACAGCCTTTTGTTTCAAATCAGTATTTATAAATAACATACGTATAATAATATTAAATAGTAAAAACAAAATAATATAAAAATTAATAAAAAAAACTACCTTTTTTTTTAAATATAATAATAAAATATATAGTAAATAACATATGATATAAGTAATAAAAGAATACAGCCTTTTGTTCCAATTAAAAATAAATAAAAATATGAAAGTTAATAATAAAAACTACATTTTAGGACCCTTTTTTTATATAATAATAAAAACATAATTGGTAACTAAATGTTATTTGGTAATTTATGCCTTATGGTATGGTGCAAAACAATCCTTACACAAACATATTTTACATGTTTCACACAAAATGTTGGACCTTTTTTCTTTATTTTTACTACATAATTTACAGCGTCTATATTTATCTATTTTTACTGCTAAATGTTGTCCAGGAATTATATAGTTAGACGGACTTGAAAGAGCACGTTTAGGATTTTTAACGCCAGGAGAAATTGTATGTCTACAACGGGAAGAAAAATTTGCAATAAGTTGATCAGTAAGAGTTGATCTAAATTCTAGAGCAGAAATAGGTTTTTTTCTATAATTCGCACAACTTGACTTGTATAACAAATATGAATTTACAATTGATGTATCTAACATATAATAAAATAATTTTAGCCACCACCGCCTAGATTTTTGGGCAACACTGTAAGTAGCCATGTATTGGTCAAACCGGTCTACTCCACCCATAAATTTATTATAATCTGATATGCTTTTGGGACATACTATGGGTATCCTCTCGCCTTTACTATTTTTTCTATTTACTATCTCAGTAGATGAAGCATCATGCATGTTGCTTATTACTGTAACTGGTTTTTTACCTCGATCTTTCCATCGACAAACACTTACATCTTCACTTTGAGCAAATTCTATTTCTCCTGGTTTATACAGTGAATCTTTTTTCATCAAATGCTTAGGATAAAATTTATACTACAAAATTAATAATTGTATAATATATTTAAAAAAATTAAGAAAATTAATTTACCTGCAGATGTAGAAGCATTTTTAGAATCAAGTTTTGTATTTTCAAAATGTAGTGACCTTTTTTGAGATCTTAATGATCTTGTCTGACCTATAAGTAGAGTTTACTGTATATATTTTAAAATTATATAAGAACTATGAATATATAATATATATAATGAAATGTATTAAAAAAAATAATATTTATACATGAAAACACAATGAAATATGATACACAATATCATAAATATTATTTGTTTAAGTACAGTAGATAGTTTATGATTATATTACAATATAATATAGTATTAATCATTTGTATTATTCATGAGTACCTAACAAATAAAATAATTTTGTTTTTTTCTATTGTAAAAAAATTTAACTCAAATGTTTTGAGTAAAAATAAATGTTACAAAAATGTATGTTTTTTACCTGTAACTGTATTTGAATTAATTGATATTGTTTCTGTATCTGAATTTGGTTGAAGAGCTTCTATGCCTTCTAAGGATAAATCTAAAAGAAATACAAGATTTATTAGATTTAAAATTTAAAAAATGTCATAGGTAGTATGACTAATTCGTTAAAAATTACTAATTAATTCATACTTGAGGACGAATGTAATGCAGGAATTGTGTCCTCTGCATCAGAGTCTCCTCCTATATCTGAGTCAAAAGCCATGGCATCGGTGATTTCTAACGCGAACAAAATGTCCTCCTCGTTCAGCATCTATGATAAATATATTCATATTATCTTCAATGACAAGTTAGCACATTGTATAACACATCAAAACTGTATATATTATACTTTTAAATGTAATAAAGATCTAATATATACTTACTTTTAGTAGATTATGTTGATTCTAATAAATAAAAAACATACTTTGATCGACGACCGAAAAAATCGTCGAATTCAAATTTGAATGTAAATAAAATGATAACTCAACGACAAATGATACAAAACAAGTTCTGATAACACAGAATTAAAGTCAAAGACGACTTAAATATTAACAACCAATCACTAAACAGATATCATTCGATTTAAATGTTTCCAACGATTATCAAAAAAAAAAAAAAAAAATTATAAAATATTATTGTTCCGCAGTGGTCATTGGGATAATAATTTCCCGTTTTTTTTTAGAACATTTATCTAATTACATTCTAACAATAGTTATCAATGATAATGGTCAAAATAGGTTGGAAAACACACATTTAAACTAAATATATCTGTGGGATATTATTTCCCACTAACCACAGGGCTACAGAATTTTTGTAATGTGATGGGAAATTATTTCCCTATAGCCACTAAAGGGTTAAAATAGGAAAATAATATAATTCAAGTACCTAGTTNATTTAAACTAAATATATCTGTGGGATATTATTTCCCACTAACCACAGGGCTACAGAATTTTTGTAATGTGATGGGAAATTATTTCCCTATAGCCACTAAAGGGTTAAGAACATATTGGGCCCCGGGGGTGAAATTTCATTTGGGCCCTTTTGACAAAACATTCTATGCAAAGCCGATCCCTTCGCTCGCAGGAGGTTACATTTTTATAACTATTTTACAAACTCACAATTGAATTATAAAATTAATATTTGTAATTTATGTCTATAAAACTACCAATTGTAATAAAATAAAAGTAAAAACTTAATACTTCATATTTCGTTAATTTTAATTCAAATTTTCATAGTAACTTTTTAATTTATTAACAGTGTACAATACTTATTTAAAACAAATATCAAACAAAAACTATTTTATTAAATAAATTTTTTTCCTTGCTTTACTATAGACGCCAACTCTCTTAGTAGGTACCTACTTCATTCAAGTCTAATGATTTTAACAAATCATTCTCAGAATATAAAATCATTAATATGTCTAAGTTTTCTTGGGTTTGACTGGTTCTATACTTATTTTTTACTCTGGTTAATTTCGAGAAAGCTCTCTCCGCAGAACAATTAGGTACAAGAATTGTCAGATATATTTTAAAGAAGTTAATATACAAGGAAATATTTCTTCAAGTGATTGATTACCAAACTAGTCAAATAATTTGGGAATGTCAGTTGGATCTATAAAATGATTTTGAAAATATAGAAAAACTATTCTTTAAAATTACTGAAAAATGTGCATCAGCTTAAAATTGTTTGGGCCCCTTTTACTTTGGTACTTGAAAGGGCCCAGGGGCTTCCACCCCGGCTAGACCCCCCCGGCTTGATCCGGCCTTGGTTAGAAGTGACTACAGCTTATAAATATTTGTTTTGCTATAAAATCTGACTCGATCGATGTGAATATTACTGAAGCATAATCTAGCATTCCTAAATACTTCATATTTTTATTAAGAACTTAAAATTGTTTTATTGTTTGTTACGCAGTGTAAAATGCAGTGTTTTACAATTAATAAAGAGAGTTATGGCATACAACAAGTATTTATCAGTTCATCACACATATCTAATCCTATATAAATATATTTATTTTACAATTCAGCAGTTAGCATACTCACATAAACACTTTGCTAAATTATCTACTGTTAATATACATTATTAATCAGAATGATATATATTATATTTTTTAATAAGGTGTTATGCATTAGGTACTATACTCTGTCCAGCGAGAGAACGCGCCGGTTTTGCGCATCTCTCACGTCACCACGCTCATAAAACCTGTTCACTTATAGTAGGCTGAGGCGTGCGGGAACTAGATTTGGTCGGTGCGCGGCTCGTTCTCTCGCTGGACAGAGTATAGAAACGATTATTATATTACGTCCCCATTAAGGTAAAACAGTTTAATTTTGAAACAAATGTTACAGAAAGATATTTATATCAACGATATTATCACCGACATTGATCTCGATATAACTATTTTATTATGTTTGGTTTTTGTGGTGAAACAGAATATTAATACAATTTACTGGGGGGCAGGGGCTCAGAGATTTCAAAATATTATTATTAAAGCACTTTAAGAGATATTTATAGGAATTTAATGTTTCCCCTATTTAACATATACAAATGTGGTAATTTTAGATTCTTAGTGGAGCGATGAATGTATTGATTTTACAATAATGAGTGTTATTATATTTATGTATTTATTTATTTTGTTATGTCTGTCATCACGGTTTCTTGCAGTAAAAGTGCTTCGAATGTCTTCACAACAACTTTTCTGGTAGAAAAGTGAATCTAGTTGGTGCATTCGGGAGGTCAAAATTTGTAATTAACAATAGTTTTCAACATTGAACTATATTTATAGGCATATGAAATTTTCGATGATTTTTTTTTTAAATTTAAGTCAATAAAAAAAGGTCGTTTTGTCAAAAAACTTGTAAATGTAAAACAACGTTCCTCATAAGTTGTTGTTGGTGAAAAAAAAAGTTGATCGAAAACCCACAATAATTTTTTATAAGCGTTTAAACTTAGAATTTTGACAAAGTTCGTGAAAATCACAAAAATTAGCAAATTATATTTAGTTAGAAATTCATAAAAAGTGTCCTTTTTATTATATTTAAGATTTAAAAATTTAAAACAAGATTCCTTATATGCCAGAAAACCAAATTCAATTTTTATGAGTGTTTGAAGTTGAAATTGTTACAACATGAGATGATTGATTATTATAATATTATTGAATATTTTTTCTTATTTTGTTGTAATTCAAAAACAAATTACTGTAGAAACTTGAAATTTACTACAAAGTATGTTTATTTCATCAATTCCTATAATTTATACATTTTTCAAAATATTTTAACTTGTTTTAAGTTGTTATGAAGTTGGACATTTTCAATTTTTTTTTTCTATAAATGTCAATAGAATTTTATTGGTTGGGTCAAAAAGCATCAATATTTAAAATAAGACTCTTGATATATAGTTACAATAGCAGTTGAAAAATATTGAAAATACATACACACGATTTTTTTAATATATATATTTATAGTTCAGATATTGAAAATATTTATTAAATTGAAAATTGAAAATGAATTTGTAGTTAAAAATTTATAAAATTTTCAACTCTTAAAGCTTAAGATTGAAAATTTAAAACAAGGTCCCCCTGAATCATTTTTTTTCATGACTAAAAAATCTGAATAATATATAAATACAGTTCTTTTTTACTGACATTTTAAGTTCAAATTTTAGCAAAATTGCATATTAACACAAAGAATAACGGAAATAATTTTGTTGTAATTCGGTTCCAAAAGAGCCCAATTTTACATAGGTATATTTAACATTTTTTCAGCATCACTGATAACTGAAGAATAATATTAATTCAATGTGATTAAAGTAGTTTATTTTACTACTAAGCATTATAGTACTATAGCAGACTAACCTCATTTTTGACAAACAAGAAACATTTGAAAATACATTGAGTGTTCAAAATATAATAATATAACAATATACTCGAATATTCTTGGTTATTATTTAATATGTAATTTCGTCCGAATTTGAACATTAAATAATTATTAAAAAATCTGTGTTAATACATTTTTCAGATCATTTCATTTATAGAATAAACTCTTCGTGTGCAACTTTGTTTTAAATTGTTGATCCTTAGCTATAAATATTTAACTATAAAATAATTTGTACATTTTTAATGAGATAAATTTTGTCAAAATTAGAACTTAAAATGCCTATAAAAAAAATTGTGCCTCTTTTTTTTAAATATTTTCAAATGCTATTGAAATAATATATCAGGTGCATTGTCGTACATTTTTATGCTTTTTAGTTTTAAATACTTTTATAGAAAAAAAATATAATAAAACTAAAATTTTAATGACCTTAAATAGCTCAAAACAAATCAAAATATTTTTAAGATAGTATGGTGTATAGAGAATTTTATTAAAAACCGGTTTTGCGTAAAAATTTCTATTTTTCCTTAACTTTTTTTGTTATATTTCCCGGCATTTTTTAAAAATTATTGGAAGTTTTCTACTTTTTACCCCTCAAAGTACCAACTATAGATTCCCCATGCTACCAGAAAATGTAATGTTGAAGAAAAAAGAAGCTTTTTTACTGCCCCAAAAAGTGATGACAGATAAGAGATGAAATTAAAAAAACACATAATTGTATATTAATATATATTTATTGTTCCAATCAGAACCTAAAATATACATTTTTAATTTATGTTTTATTGTCATGACAAAATATTTAGAGGATAATCTATATAAGTTCTTATATTCTATATTTTTGTGTGTTATATAGTGGCACTTACAATCATTACAACCACCTAAAATCAATTAGTTATAAATTAAGATCTTATTGTGTAACTAAATAAATATATTATAATCTTCAATATTAAAGTATCTTAGTAAAAATTATATTTAATAATAGTATATTATTTATCCAAGCAAATTATAGTACCTATATATTAAGACATTCAAATAATAGCATGTATGTTACGTTTATTATTAGTTGTTAATTATTATTGTAGCATTTCAAATTAATGTATATATTTTTTTTAATTTCAACAAAATGAACCATGGATGGTAATAGATTCTACTAGCTATAGTAAATATTGTACATTTAGTAAACATTTTTATATTTTAAGTAAGTATAAAGAAAAACAGTTATACTTACATGATTGAAATAAACATAAAGTAAAACCAAGTACTGAAAAAATTTGTAACATATTAAATTTGACCATCTTTGGACTGAAATGAAAATAAGAACGGTGTTGAACTAGAAGGTACTTAGAATGAACTATTGAAAATTGAGAATAACATGGTGTTTTAAGGATTTCTTGAGCTAAAACTTATTGAACTACATGAGTTCAAAAAACAGCTGAGTAACCTCAGCAGTGTTGCTTAAATAAATACCATATTTATTATGTTTAGAAACGCACACTACAATAATGTTCAAATTTATGTTTTTAGTTTCTGAACAAAACTGTACTAAACATGCTTAGGTGTTAAGTACATTTGGTAGGTCGCTCTGCTGTAATGCGAAAGCAGTCCCCGCGGCTCCGTCGGTTCAAGACTGGAAAAAAAAGGTCGCTCTGCTGCAGCCTGTAGGCTGTAGAGTATGTCTAATAATACCTATTTAGGATGATTATCCTAAGATTAACGGGGAGGACTATCCGGGAGAGTATAAGAAGAGAGATTTGTTATTAATTAATCTGAGAGATTATAATGTTAGAGTGAAATTGTCATAATGAATCGAAGCAAGAACAGTACATTTTTACAGAAGAACAATTTTTGAAAAACTTTGATTTTATTATTTGTTCAAATTCTAAAATAAAATAAATTTAAATACATCACAGTTTCACAGAACGTTAATATTGCTATTTTGTATGCACCATACAGTTTCAAAATATTTTCATTTCTTTTCGGTCCCA